AAGTTGCACTGAGTAAATACAGCTGGATAAAAAAAAACTGTGTCCATCTTCATTTCAGGCTGAAAAGCAACAAAATGTGATTATTTTTAAAAGGGGGTGATTGTTTTCTATACCCACTGTATATATAATAAACATAACCACAAACAAGTGTGCATTAGCACGTGAATGCATATTTTATGTTAAGAGTTAAATACATATTGTTCTGCTGTTGCAACTCAAAATTCGTAACAATGAATGCATTTTTTTCCCCGTTTGCATGGCTGGTGCCGAAAGGTTCTAGAGTATGACTGCAAAAATAAAAATGAAACAACTTCTAACTCCTCAAGGTTTGTGGTGTCTATATTCTCAATTTAATGAATACCTTGGTTACCAGATATTTGTCACAAAGGATCACTGATGATTCATTGCTGCTCATATTTGCTAACTACTACTTTATATTCCACTGCTGCTACACATGTATATATTACCTACATATCTAACTGTCAGTTTTGTTTTTACTTTGTGTACCTTCTGATACTATTGTCTGTATTTGTCCATATTTACTGTGTTTAGTCCTCATGACTGTTACAGTTGTTTCCTGAAGAAATTGTGTTGTTTGTTTTCTATCTTTTTGTCATGCAATTAGCTAAAAATTACAATAAAGTTTACTCTGCGTTTATATTGTAAATGTCACATAGTATTCAGCAGCGCTTTCTTTTTTTCTGGTTATTACAGGCATTTTTTGGTTGCACCTGGAATTTCCTACATTTCGGACTTCAAAATACCCCATCACACCAATAAAAGAGTTTTTCCAATCATATCCAATATATCTCAAGTTCAATATGCCATCAGCCACTTTATCAGAAATCAGGTTTTCCACTCAACCTAGTTATCAGTATCAGAAAAAAATACAATTGGTCAACCTCTGTTTTATGTGTATGTCTAATTGGCCATGTGTTCACCTCTCCAGTGCTGCTCGTCTCTTTTCCACAAACTCCGCTGAGGATGAATCCTCCTTCCCTACCTTCACTTTAGTCATCCCTGTGACACAACACCAAACCACACGCTCAGTCAGCAAAAAAGTAAGAGCCAACAGAAAGCTCAGAGTAAACATTCTCATGTATCCAGGCTACTGTGAGTGTCTAGATGAGCTAACTAGAATAACTCCACTAGACATGGAGCCAGAGTGAGCATGAGAGCTTCTTTACCTACTACACTCTTCTGAGGTGGAGGTGGGATGATGCAACCCAGCAGGGAGTGTTTGGCCGATATCTTCTCATAAAGTCCCAGAAAATCACTAAAGCGTCGACGAACTGAGAACGTCTTATTAAGAAACATGGGCAGTGTAGTCTGGAGAGAGACAGAGAAGCACGGAAAAAATGCTGACATATGTCGCTTGAACAATCCCCAAAAAAATGGTAATAGGGATAAGCTTTTGCGTACCTGAGTCGACACTTTGTAAGACATGTAGGCATTCATGCCATCTCCTGTAACACAATAACGTAGAAGAACTCAATCACTTTAGCTCTCAACATCCAGAACATCTAGAACAAGAGGCTGACTCTAGACTAGTGGTTCTCAACCTTTTCAATCCTCAGTGTCCAAGGAAATATGAATTTGAATGGCCACACATGTAGGCTAAGATATTTTCTCTATTAATACTGCTGTAATAAAGACAAACCTGCTTGTTTTCTGTGAGTGTCAACAGATTAATTATTAATTATGATTCTTTTCTTTTTTTTTCATTTCAGAAGTTTTAAGAACTCAAGAATTGTATTTATTAATGTTGATCAGATTTTAATAAATAAAAGTAAGAAATAGAAATACTTATTTCAAATAAACCTTTAAAATAAGCTCCTTTGGATGTGTGCTGAGGTCCCCTAGTGGGCAACTGATTGAGAACCACTCATCTAGAAAAATGTGATGCTAGTATATCCCCCTTATTTTTAAAGTAATAGTGGGCAATGCGATTTATAACGTGAATGTGTCGCTCCTAGTTATTTTAGCTGTACAAAATCAGTTCATTGTGCTGCTTGACGCTGCAAACGGTTATTTATCATCATATTATTAACATTTATTCATTTAGCAGATGCTTTTTTTAATCCAAAGTGATTTACAAATGAGGAACCATAATCATAAACTCACTGGTTTGTAGCGCAAATCATTTTACAGGTTGCTTCAATTTGTTATTTACTTATTCACTTACTTTCGCATTGAAAAATAAGTTGCATAATACAAACCAATTTTCTCTGGATTAGTGACTGCGATGTTCAGCTCAAACTGGTCTCCACTCTCTTCCTCCTCCAACTGTTAAAGTTCATCAGCATTGTTAGAATTAAGAATCTATATAAATATTACATGAATGCAACTGAAGGCACGTAAAGGGTCTTGTTTCAGTACCTCCTCCGTGGTCTTGGTGACAATGCTGGGTTTGAGTATGGAATTAGGAACTTGTGTGGTGTTGCAAGCCGATGCGGTCGGTCCAATAATCTCTCTCCTGCCTTGACTAGTGGTGTTGGTAAGCGTCAGTTCTACAGTTGCCTCTGGTGTTTGAACAGAGAGAACAAATAAAGCACAGAGGTGTGAAGTATGTGAGTAATAGCACTTCACCATTATATTTTAGTTTAGTATTATTTTGGGAACTCTGTACCTTACATTATTTCTGTTAAAACAGAGTACTTGTACTTTTACTCAATCACATTTACAGTCATGGCCAAACGTTTTGACAGTGACATAAATTGTGTTTTGCAAATTTGCTGCTTCATTATTTGTAGATTATTCTTCCACATATTCCACAAGCATATCATAAGTTTTAAAGGCTTTTATTGGCAAAAAATAT